GTAATAAACTTGAAATGTTTGCCAGGCCTCAATGCTGAAACTGTGCAGCTTCTAGAAGAGTAAACAGACAAGACAGCAGAGTAGTGACTGGGTTAGTCAAACATTTCTTTTTAAAATTTTTATTATTGTTTGTTTGTTTGTTCGTTCGTTCGTTTGTTTTGGCTTTTTGAGATGGGGCTTCTCTGTGTAGGCCTGGCTGTCCTTCATTCGCTTTGGAGGCTAGGCTGGCCTTGAACTCATAGATATCCACCAGCCTGTGCCTCCCAAGTGCTGGGATTACAGGTGTGTGCACTACACCCAGCTCTTTTTTTTTTGTTTTTGTTTTTTTTTTTGTTGTTGTTGTTGTTTTTGTTTTTTGGGGTTTTTTTTATTTTGTTTTGTTTTAGTCTTTTAAAAAAAGTGAATGGATTTACTTACATACGTGTATGGCTGTTTTGCCTGCATGTATGTCTGTGCAGCATGTTTAGGCCGAGTGCCCAAGGAGACAAGGAGTGGGTTTTGGAGAATTACAGACTGTTGTAAGCTAAAATGTAGTGCTGGGAATAGAACTTGGGCCCATCTGGAACAGCAACCAGTGCTCTTAACCACTGAGCCACTTCTCCAGCCAGGCAAAGATTGATTAACTAGTGCATAAGAAGCACTAGAAGAAAAAAGAAACATGATCTAGACTTGATCAAAACACAGAGTATTTCTTTATAAAAGATTCCGACCAGTGATAATGTTGCGTGCCTTTAATCCCAGCACTCAAGAAGCAGAGGCAGGCAGCTCTGAATATGAGGCCAGCCTTGTCTACAGAGTGAGTTCTAGGGCTCCATAATCTTGAGATTCCCTCTCAAAACAAAAAAAAGGAAAAGATTATTGGGCTAGGGGTATAGCTCAGCTGATAGAGCACTCGCCTAAAACCCTGGGTTTAATCCCCGAACCACATAAAAATAAATGTGGTGGCTCATACCTGTAATCCCAGCACTAAGGAGGTGGAGGCAGGAGGGACACAAATTCAGGGCATCCTCAACTACTGGGTGAATTAAAGGTTAGCCCTGGAGTACATAAAATGTCACAAACAAACAAAATGAACCAATAGCAAAAAAATCTCCATTGCCAGGGGGTAAGGTGTGTGCCTGTTAGGAGTTCTGGGCCAACTAAGGCAGCTTAGGGAGACAAGGGCCTCTTCAAACAAAGCAAAAGCATCTTTAAAAAGATAGAACGTAGTGTACTGGCCAAGAGGAAATGTTTATAAAATAATGCATGACTGAATATTGAATCCAAAATAGAGAAGGGAATCTTAAAACTCAGTTTAAACAACTTAAAATATTTAACAATTTAAAATATTAAACAAAATAAAATATGTAAGAGGATAATTCTCCACAAAGTTGTCAGAATGGCAAGTGAATACAGAAAGAGATATTGAAACCCAGCAGACATCAGGAAAATGATGACTCTGTGCTGAGACACAAACACACACACAGCAGAGCGGCCAAAAATAGAAAACTCGCTCATAGGGAATGCTGCCAGCAATGAAGTTCAGAGTACCGTAGATGGTGCCACACATGCTTGCTTCAAGTGAAGCATGGGAGTCCACAAACTATTAACTCATTCAGGTGGAATTCTACAAAAAATGAGACTGTGATGACGGAATTACGCTTGCTTGCTTGCTTGCTTGCTTGCTTGCATGCTTGCGTGCATGCTTGCTTGCTTGCCTTTAAAGAAACAAAATGGGGCTAGCAAGATGGCTTAGCAGGTGAAAGCACTTTCTACAGAGCCTAATAAGCCAAGTTCAGTCCCCATGACCCACATTGTAGATGGAGAAAACAGGCTCCCAAAAGTTATCCTCCGACCTCCATACATGCCCAGACACACACACACACACACACACACACACACACACACACACACACACACA